CCCAGAAATTATCTTTATTCCCAACAAATGAAAAACAGTCTTAAGATTATACAGCCAGATGGGATATATTTTGCAGCTATTCAAAATGCTTGTGAAGAATTAAAATATAAGATGCTCATAATTTGAGGGGGGAAAATAGGATATAAAACTGGGTGTCTAATATTATAGGCAAAACAAAAAACTGAAAGAACTGTAGTAAGTGGTTTGGATAACTGTCATCTTCTCAGCACTTTTCTGTATCTCCCCCATGTTCCGCACTGAGCCCTGCTGGACTTCAGAAGTCACATGCATGCGTCATGTGTGTGCACACACAACACACACGCACACGTCACTGCACCAGACTGTTGTCCACAGTGACTGACCAATTTCCTCGCCCACACCCTCTAGCACTAGTTGGGAGGCCTTTTTCATGGGCCTCTGCTGGCAGCTTACTGTAGGGTTAATCTGCTTCTCTTACCAACGTGCTTCTCTTATTAGAAACAACGTATATATTCTCTGGTGAACTGTCTGTATGCGCTGCCCACTTATTAATTGCCTATTTGCTTTATATGTTTTATGAGTTTTTATGTATCACGATTACTATTCCCTTATCAGATATTCATCATGTAAATATTTTCTCCCCTTTCAGAGGGTGTCTTCTGAATTATCTTATATTTTCACTGTATAGAAGCATTTTAACATGAGGTAATCCTAATTGTTTATTTCCCTTGTATTGTGGCTGAGTCACCAAAGATATCCTTATCACTGACACCATAAAACAAATCACCAGTGCTTTCCTGTTGTGGGTCTTGCACCTAAATCTTTAATCTGTCTGGATTAAAGTTACAAATTAGACAGTAATCCAACTTCATTCCTGTATTGATTCTCCCCATACTTCAGACTTCATTTTAAAATATCACAACTAACTAAAAAACACTGTTCCTAAAGGACATAGTTTTATTTTAAAATCAAGAAAACTAAAAAGCACAAAAATCAACTGATAAAGGACAGAAAGTCATACAAAATATACAAATCATTGAAGTTAAAGAAAGACTGAATTTCACTAACTTTTATAGTTACAAAGGAATGAGATAATCAATATCTCAAAGGAATATAACTTGTATAATAAAAAGAAATGAGATAATGATAGTCAATATCACACTGGCAAATATTTCTGAAGCGAGACGGAAGCTTGCTGACTGCGGCACAAAGTTCAAACACTGGGAAAGTGAGCTGCTACTGTTCCACAAGAAAAGTATGAGACTCTTAAAGAAGAACCTATTCTTGGAATCATTTAAGTCAAGGAATCTCTCCTCAAAAATTATACATAAAGGGCCCTCCCTGGTGGCACAGCAGGTTAAAGCACAGCACTGGGAAGCTAAAGCCGCTTCCGCATGAGTTCGATCCCCGCCTGCCCCGGAGGTGACCGCATGGCGCGGCAGACCTCTCCTGACCCGCCCACTGCTCCCCTCAGCAGGGTCCTTCGTCGATCTGCCTGTTCTGCTCCCCACTCTGTCTCTGGGGAATCCTCTCACTCTTCTAGTTCTTGTATGCGTAAACAAATAAAAATCAAATTTAAAAAAAAAAATTACACATAAATCTGGGAAATGTTTTAGACACAAGAATGTTCAAAAGCTTTATATTTAGGGGAAAAAAAAACCCAGAAATTATCTTTATTCCCAACAAATGAAAAACAGTCTTAAGATTATACAGCCAGATGGGATATATTTTGCAGCTATTCAAAATGCTTGTGAAGAATTAAAATATAAGATGCTCATAATTTGAGGGGGGAAAATAGGATATAAAACTGGGTGTCTAATATTATAGGCAAAACAAAAAACTGAAAGAACTGTAGTAAGTGGTTTGGATAACTGTCATCTTCTCAGCACTTTTCTGTATCTCCCCCATGTTCCGCACTGAGCCCTGCTGGACTTCAGAAGTCACATGCATGCGTCATGTGTGTGCACACACAACACACACGCACACGTCACTGCACGCCAGGCCGACATATCCTGAAGCCGGCGGCCGACGGTGCGGTGCACAATGCGTCAAGTGATAACCACAGTGGGGCAGCCGGCACCATCTCCTCAGACACCATAAGCGAAAACAGTAACTCTGTGTCATCGTGTGAGCTACAGTAATCACGCTGGATTCGCCCTGAGCTACCAAATCACAGTATCTTCCTGAGGACGTGTATCCAGCACTTGGTACTTGAAAAACAATCTCCAAATCCCAAGCAGGATTTTATTAGACTATCTCCTCTAACCCGGGGCGCTCTGCGGCCACCGAAGAGCAAAGAGGGACTCTGGCTCCAAGCTGACACCGAGGTGTGACCGCCACCTGGAGGAGACTGCACACAAGGGGCCACCATGGACAGGGATATCGATCCCGTGGTGCCCAACCCCAGGGGCTGCCACCCTCACTCTCTCCTCCAGCAGGGAACACGGGCTGCCCCATGACCCCAGGGCAGCAGCTCCCTTCTCAGCACTGCAAATGTGGAGGTCTGGGTGCTCAGCGCCCTGGTCCTGCTACAAGGTCAGCTCCCTGGTGACCAACATCTAATGGAATTCGGGACTGGGGCCACCTAGTCCTTCTGAATGAAAATCTGCACTTTAACAGGATTCCCAGAGACGCGTGTGCACACTGACGTCCAAGTAGCCGGGCACTTCAGATCCAGCTCTTTAGTCCTCACTGTCGTCACCCAACCTTGCATGTAGCCTCATCCCTGGAGGGTCTCCTGGACCCAGCCCCGCCCATTTCTCCTCCTCTTTCTCTGAACCCCCTCTCCGCTGTTCCCTCTAAGGTGCCGCCCCCATTCAAGTTCATCAATGAACAAAGCCCGAGCCTCCTTACACTGACCAGCCTTGCTAGGCCTGTCCACACAGCTCCAGTGGGAAGCCCTAGCCCCCAGAACCTCTGTCGCACCGGGCAGAGCACAGGCGGGCGCCCTGTGTGGCTGCCGCCCAGCCAGCCAGCCGACCGCCAGCCACGCTCCTGCCGTGCTGCTGGCGGTCATGCGCTGCCCAGTGACAGCACACGCTGGACACTGCTGAGCTGCCTTTTCCCTAAGGGCTCCTCCCTCGCCCGGGACATATCAAGCATTTACGGCCACAGTCACAACATGGGTGTTGCCTCAGAATGAAAATACTCTGCGCTCCCAGATTTCTGCTTCTCTTCATAGAGGAACAAACACTCCTCCCCTTTCCAGAGGCACCCCCCTCACTTAGGGTGGGAGGGCCAGTACAGTGATGGCACCCCTCCCCCAGCAAGCGAGCTCTCCAATCCGGACATCTTGGGCTTGGAGGCTGCCGGCCCCACGCAAGCCCTGCCTCCAGGCACTCTGCTCTTCTCATTACGCCAGGTTTCCAGCCCCACAGTTCTCCCCTGGCCATGACTACTTCACTTTTCTCCCCAGGGAGGGGAGGGCACTGGTGCAACAATCACCAGACCACACTCTAAACCCCTCACACTTCAAGGAGTCACTTGACTCAACATTCACTAACTCAGATGTTTTCCACTCTAATCTCCACTTGCCATTTGCTTCATGGACAAATTATTCTTGACTCCTGTTCTCCACTGGCAGTTCCTTCTACCCTGGCTGAGTCCCTGACTTTTCCTCTTTGAATCTAACTGTGCGTCAATTTTTTAAAAAGTAACTTTGCTTGGCCCCGTCTTTTTGTCACACCCAAGAGTCATTTATCCAGGGAACTACAACCAACAGGTAGGTCTGAGCTAATGGGCGGATTTTTGTTTTTAATTCACGCAGCAAGACTGACTGATACCATGATACAATACACTAAGCTTCCATCTCGACTGGACTCCAAACCCTGGCCACTTTCTAGGTATCCCCTGTCAGACTGCTCTCCATGTTCCCACACAGCAACTGTAAACCCTTACACTCCCAAACATTTGACCCCCCCTTCTCAATCTACCCTTCCTGAGGCGAATCTCTTATCTTGGAGAAAGTAAAAACTATTAGGCAAGAGAACCCTCAATTTCCCATCATCACGTAAGCAAATTTATTTATAACCACACCCTTCCTGCCGGCCCGGGGGCCCTAAGCATCGACACCCCTCACCCCCACGTGCACCTCTTCCCTCTCCATGGGAGCACGGGATGATTCAGAGCCAATGCCAGACAGGGCTTGTGCGCCCGGGCAGCTTATTTAACAACCACCTCACCCCACCCATCTTTCCTAAGAGCCCGTCAACTGCATGAGAGCACAGACCTAACCTTCCCTCCACTGAGCCTCAGCACCACCCCAACCCCACACTAGAGAGCAGGCAGTCAGAAAGTACACTTCCTTTCATTTTCCCGCCCACTAGCCTAATGTAACGCGACAGCTTGGGATAAAGCACATCTCCAAAGCTGCATTCTTCAGCAAGGGTCTCTCTTGCAATAAATATTTTATAGAAAAAGAGGGTTCAGTGAATATTTGTAAGTTTTAGAAGCAATTCCTTAAGGCACCAGAGAGCTGAAGAACACAATAATAAATCCTGTAAGCCTAGATTGAGTCCATTTTCAAAAGTATTCTGAGAAAAAGCACCCCTGAGCCCTCCTACAGCCCCACCCAAGTCCCCTGCTCAGTCCATGATCTGGCCTGTAGCCTGCTAGGGCAGGGCAGGTAACTGTTACCTTAGGATGGGCTCTAGGTCGGGATGCCGCCGTTCTTCCCTTTTCAATGAACCCTGATTCAGGGCTCTTAAGATGGCCTTGTCAAATGTCTCTGAAGACAATTCCTTTGGAAGCTAGAAAAGAAAACAGCACAGATGATGTTAAAGTCCTCACTGCCTGGTGAGCATCACAAACCAGAGGCACAAAAGGAAGATCCATGTCCCTGCTCCGTAATCACCCAAAGCTGCTCCTTAAGTCTTTACCTCGCACCGCATGCTGAAGATCGATTTTTCTACTGGGAAACGCCAGGTCTGCCCCTGGGCACACCTCGGGGCTCCCGCAGGGCAGAACGGCTGGCAGGATCCATCTGCTTCTGGGAGCCGCCTGTACAGACCTCACGGGCCACGGGCCACGGGCCACATGGCCAGGACGCCCAGACACAGCTCTTCCGTTAAATGCAGCATCTGCACACCGGAGTACCCTCAAGTAGTACTCCGAAAGTGTCCTCCCTGCCTCTGTGTTTTGTGCCCCCTGCTCTGCGTCCGAACCCCAGGTAATGCCAGAACAGCAACTGACACAGCGAACACAGAACTGGGTGTGAAAGGCGGGGGTGGACACGCTTCAGAACCTCCTTCCACTTAAAAACACACTGATCAAAGATTAGTACCTTTTCCTCAGTGCTATGGAGGTGTTTTCAGGGCAATGGACAAGTAACTCACCAAAAAAAAAAAATCAGTCCTTGGTCAAGGAAGTTGTACAATTACAAATAACATTTTAAGTCATTTCATTAACTTATTCAAATTTAATTTTTAATTTACCTTTCTAAAAATTCGTAACAAATTTATATATTTATAAAACTAATTTTCCAAGTTTTCCAAGAATTCAAAGTTCTCAATTTGACTTTGTGAATAACTGGCACTTTCACTAAAATTAGGAGCAGAGCAATTACCACAGTAGTTAAGGAGTTACATGAATATAAGCTACACAAATTGTCAATTCACATGTCGAGCTTTAATTTGAGAACCCAAAGTAAGTATTCTTTTCACAAATAAACATCTTGAGCTGTCAATTCAAAAATAGAAATTTCAACAAAGGTAGCCTCCAGTATTACTAATTTTAGGCATAATGAAACTGTAGAATCAAGATGTTATGACAGAATGAAGCCGTACTGGCACATTTACTGACCTGGCCAGATGGGACGCTGGGCTCTGCTCCAACCCACACACAGCAGGCGGGGGAGGGGGGAGGGAGGGGAGGTTCATGCCCCTTGACCACTCCTGACAAGAAATAAGTTCTGGATCTACACGTTTTCCAGACAGAGAAATGGCTATTCATTGCAGTATTTACTTGTTGACATCACCTTAATGGAGACTGAGGACATCATCAGATAGCCCCTCACTCATTTTAAGCACAACTTCTACTGAGTATCTGTATGTAGCCAATAATCCAGCTTCAGGGGACGAGTCTATTTTAACCACCAAGTCACAGTGATTCTCCTAAACCTGCGGGCAGGTGCACGCACATCTCACCTTATCAGTGACGGTGACACCGGGCAGGGCAGGTACTAGTGCTTGCAAATAGATTTATTTCCCATATAGCTTTTCACCTTTAATTTCCGAAGACTATTTCCAAACCTAGAGGAAGGCATATTTGCTAAAAATACAGCTTGAAATCATGTTCTTTTTCTATTCTAGTCACCCTGAAGTTTCTCACCTCTGATCTCTGCTTCAACACACCAAGCCTCCCATGCTGGAACCTGCTTAGCCTGGCACAAGCAGAGACCTGGAAGGCATTTGTACCCCACTGTCACAGGCTTGTCTTTTAAAACACTGAGACCTAATTAATAAGCATCTACAGAACCTCCTCACAATTTAGTTTTTAACATGTCGCATTTATTTGTTCATTCATCCATCAAACTGTACGGTGGGGACAATCGTGAAGGAAGAAACATAATCTTTGCCTCCCTCGAGCCTCAACTCTGCAAATGATGGACAACAGAAATGGTGTCAGACGGAGCTGCTAAGAAGCAGGAGCAGGGGACTGGGGAGCACAGGACAGAGGCTGCCACTTACACAGGAATAAAGGGTCTGGAAACACGGACCTCGCACTCACTCTGCCACATGTCAACAAACTAAGTGCAGTGAAACGGCAGCTACAATTAACGTCAACTGTCACATATTAGAAAAACACTCTGTCCCAGTGTTGGCTAAGCAGAGGGATCCCTAATTACTGTGATTCTGAAGAATGACTTATCTACTTGGGATTGTATTTTTCAAAAGGACCTAAGTTTCTGGAAAAACCGTGTGACCGAAATCTGTAAAGACAAGCAGCAGAAGACACTGCCTAGAGGTCAGCCGCGTCTCCCTTGGTTTATGCCCGCAGACGGGGAAGCAGCAATGGCCACCCGAGCACATGAGATCACCAGCCTCAGAGGTGGCTAGACAGAACCACTGCCCCTTGTACTGGATTTCAGAATGCAAGATACTTCAGCCCCATGCTGAATCTCCTACAACTCCCCTCCAGCATCAGAATTCTGTTGTGTGCTGGCTACAGGAGAAAGAAGAGAAAGGAAGGTAGACCAGTGCTCCAGTCCAAGGTTCGTGAGTGCCTGTCTTTAAACACTGGTAAGTTTATTCTGCCAAGAGGCAGAGAAATCCGCAACAGAAGAGACTCTGAAAGCACTTGGGGTAGGGATCTTAATTTACTCAACAGCAAAACCCTGATCGGGAGCAGCTCCTCCTTCTGGAACCCAGTGCTCACTCCACACTCCAGCCCTTCACTCCCCCTCACCACGCTGTCCAAAGTGAGGCCACAGGCACAGGACCTCTGGCAACTGGAAATTAGTAACAATGCTTATCTGTGTGTGCAGTCAGGTCACCAGCCTGATGTGGGTGCTGGAGTTCCAGCCCTTCCCTGGAAGAGCCTAGCTTAAAACAAGCCACAGGAGAATGGGAGTATTCAAGTCACCCTGGGGTGTTTTCACTCACCTGAACTAAGACTGTGTCATGGATTGAGCTAGGTGCTTGCTCTTGGACCAGCATCTAAGGTGCTGCTCGGAGCTCTAAAATCTGTGGCAAATTGTGTCTTTCAATTTCAGAATAAGGGGAGGCCCACATGGTCAGAGAAGAGAGAATTGATGGTGATATGCTTTAACTTAAAAACCAGCACTGTGCTAAAAATGTCAGATGTTACAGATACCATAACTATCCCACACCTTTACCATGTTAGACACTGAGCTGGGAATTTTTCCTGTTTCTGGAATTCTTGCTTTATCTTCCTATTATATGTTTAGAATTTCCATTAGAAATAGCAGCTTATTGGCTAACCATTTAAAACTGTTCCCTCCTTTTATTACTTTATCTCCAGCCACACACTTTTCAAGAAAATAAATTATCATAGAAGAAATGGGAGTCTGACCACAATGATCTAAGACAAATTCCACCTCTGAAAATCTGCCTGAAACGTTCCCACAACCCCTGGCTCTCAAGAGCTCGATTCTATCACGGAGGTCGGGGCTGGGGAGAGAAGAAGAGACAGGTGAGTTTCAGGGAGCTGAGGGGCTGCACTGTTGAGCCACTACACACGCGAACCGGCCTCACGCGGCGTCTCATGACACACCTCGCCCAGGAGCACCTTTCAAGCAGCCACCGCCGTAAGCATCTCACCCGAAACTCAGAAAAGGGCTCCAGGTTCTAAAAATATGGAAACCTTTATCATTTCCTCATATTGGTAGTGAACGAAACGCATGTCTGAATAACATGACATTTTTCCTACAGCTCATGGAGAGCTTCAAACCACCTTTATATATATATATATATATATATATATTATATATATAACTATATATATATATATTATATATATAACTATATATATATATGTGTTTTGATTTTCCTGATGTTTGCTTTGATAATTGAGTTTTGAATTTTGTATATTATGTAAAAATCATTTTAACAACAAAATCTATACTTTTACCTTCAGTAGAAATTCCTGTAGTTCTTGGTGGGTTTTTGTTACTGTTGTGACTGAAAGATCAGACCAATTTACCTGATTTAAAAAAAACACACATATTATATGGTTATTTCTTAGGCGGGAACCGGCTAAAAAAAAGCCATGTGTAAAACAAAGGGCCTTACTTAACTTTATTAACCACTAAAAATAAAATGTTAATCTGGCATCGTTACATAATCGCTTCAAAATGTAATCTATATTGACAGTCTACTCAAAATTCTTTTAATAATGCCTACTAGATGACATAGTCTTTATAAAAAGTTGTCTCAAAATAACATGACTATGTTTTAGTAATTTTTCAGCAAGGGAAATGTCTTCCATTCCTTTTTTTTTTTGTGAAGTTGCAGGATTCTACAGTGAAGCTCTGACAGCAAGTTCTATGTCCCAAGAAAGAGAACGGTCCACCTACCGGGCTTAGGAAGCATGCATTCCTACAAGAAATAAGCAGAGCTTACTGCCCCTCTTTTGCCACACCCAATTGTACTTTCTTGGGGAATTACGGTTTATGAGAAGATTTCAACTTTTATCTCTATTCTTTAAAATCCTGTTAACATGGATGGGGCAGGTATGACAATTTCCACTTTCAGATGGAGAAACCAAATCTCAAAAAGATGAAGTGACTCAGCTCAACCCTAAGTAGACATAAGAGCCAGAGCTGAAATCTATTATGCCCCCTTACCTCTGGATACTTTCAATTCAGAGGACTTACGGGTGGCCCAGTAATAATTTCTACTTTACAATATCAAACCCTTATCAACTAATCATAATTAATCAGATGCTTTAAAATACATTCAATATTTTATTTAGCAACCCTCAAAACAAGTATCTCTATAACTGGCGTAACTCTTGGGTGATTTTTTAATTACTCAAATGTTTGTGGGTAACTACTTGTGTGAGACAGTTTCTAGTGAAGGGGATACAGCAGTGGGCAAGACAGTGCCAAGTGTCCATGGGCTGAGTCTGATGCAGGAGACAGGCGAAAGCAACAGAAGATGTAAGGATTACTACCAGTGACCAGGGCTCCGAAGACCACAACAGGGCGGCATGTCACCGGAGGGGTAATGGTACATTAGCCTGGTGCCAAGAAAGCCCTCAGAGGTAGGAGTGCCTGAGATAGTCTTTGCTGTAGGGACATCAGCTGTGCCATGGTTTAGGGGAAGATCATTCCAGAACAGGGGGCCAGTGCAGGCCTCACAGAAGGAACAAGCTATGCATTCCCACTACAGGAGAAGACAAACATAACTGAATGAAAAAGGCATCTAGGGGGCTTGCACCACAGGTTACAAATCTCAAATCAAACATATGCAGATGAGGACTTGAAATGTGCAGATTGAGGGTATTTCTCCCACAGAAGCAGAAGACAGAATTCTGAAATTCAAAGACAGATGTGGTGGGGATCATAAAGGATAAGATTCCTGCTCTCCGGCTTAGAGATGATAATCTACTGTTAAGAAAAAACATGCAGCCTAAATAGAATGTTATCTGTGAAAACATGACAGCTGTATAACCCGGGTGAATGACAGAACATTCCAGTGAATCCATGAGAGGACAGCTAAAATGTGGCAAGCAACCTTTGGGGGAGAGCTGAAGTGAGAAGCTCAGAAACGTGGTACCATCTCCAGGACTTTAAGACAAAGACAGCCCAGCAGAGGACTGGAGAGTGAGGCCCAGGCAGAGAGAATAAGGAAGGCAAGGCGGAATCCCCTCGATGGTCCCTGGGCAAAGAGCAGACCCTGGGCTCTGAGGCTGGTGAGACAGCTGTCAGAAGGACAGACTGAGGGGAAAGCCACTTCAGAGAAGACAAGGCGACAAAGGCCAGAAAATAAAACCATCACCTGACACAGGAAAAAGAGATGACGACAAGGACTACAACAGGAGGCGGGGGAGGGGGAGAAAAATAGCGGGAAACACTGCCAGGGAAGACAATGTCCGTGATTCTGACTGTCAAAATACTGGAGGAAACGGTCACGGCTACTTTTTAAGATCTATCTTACACCTTAAATGTGAAGCTCATTATTTTTTTTTATTCTTTTTAAACAAAATTGTAATTTCAATATGATACGATTTTTAAAACTTGGTAAACCATGAATTACAAACTAGAAACAGTACATTTCCTTTGGTTAAAACAAGCACACATATGTCCAGCTTTTTTTAAATTAGCAAACCTGCCAGAAATTTTTCCAAAAATAAATTTTCATTCTTTTTCAAAGATCATGTAACATGGGATATGGGGTGTCTTTTGTGGATGAGAGTAGCTTACTTTGAAGGTGTACTCCCAATATTTGTCAGCCCTTTTTCTCTGGACTCCTTTCAACATTATCTTCTCAATGTGTACAGCTGAAAGACAGAAAACACGCTGACTCGTTCTACAGCAACTAGATACACATTCCAGTTACCCAATGTGACAAGTGCTTAATGATTAAGCTATTTATTTTCATCTTTACTACTGGTCTTGAATCAGAAAACAAACCCCAGAAGCAGAGCGGTAGGCCACCCACACAGGGATGGATGTGCCCTCGACTGTCAGTCTGACTGCTGAGCGATGGCATCGTCAGCACTCTGCTGAGCACCGAAGGTGAAAAGGGTAAGTAGTAAAAGGTGCCGGCTTTCTGGATGATGATCTTCCAAACTGTTCGTCACTCAGATTACCACCAGCAACTGAGGTTCATTCAATTATAGTGCATAGTACATGTAAACTAGCGAACAGTGTTTATTTTTAATTGGGAAAACCCCTTCAGAAGCCATATATAAAACTAATAAAAATGTCTTTCCATTTGGGAATTTATTTTTCTCAAATGTGACCCTTAATAGCATAATGATAAACACAAACAACATTATAATGAACTATGAAGGTTCACCGTAGCAAGAAACAGTGGTCATAAATTATGTCAGTGACTTAAGAACAATTACTCTGAATTGAAACAGATAATCAGAGCTTATTCATGAAGCAAACACACAAATCTCAGACCTACTCACTTTATAAGTCCTTTAATAAAAATACCAACTTAGGAAGTAAATCCCTTTACAAACTCAAAAGAATCAATCAGTCCCCTAAGTATAATGTAAGGACTTAAGAGAAAAAAAAAAAAATGTTGTTGCTCAGGGTATGAACAGAAGAAATAGTACTTAAAAAACGAGGGCGGTAGTATCAGAGTCTGGCAATAATGAAGATGATACAGTCGCAGGAAACAGTGAGGAGAGTGACTCAGCAGGTCAGCATCCCTGCTGGACTCATGGGGGCAGGAGATGGAAGAAGAGGGAAGGATTCACTTTGCTTTAGAGAAGAAGTTAAAACAGATGAAGTAGAATACACAAAGTAACAAAAGTACACAGGAAGAAAAAAGAGTGTTATAGATCACGGGAGGTGGGCAATGAGAAGGGACCAAGCAGAAGATGCAGAATCTGCAGGGAAATACATTCATAAACTAAAAATGAAGTGACACCCTTACCAGTATTTTGTACCAACTTTCCAAATATAAAGTGTCTGGTGACCTACTTCTAGGCCAGTTTTCCCTTCGTGGGTGAAAATGTGAAGGAAATCAAAGCCAGGTGAGGAGCTGGCAACTCCGCACAACTGCCGAGGAGACTGAGGCCACCCCGGAGGCAGGCTGCTTTTTCCAAAGGCGTATCTATTAAATCAGTCAAAGGACGACGCTGTCAAATGACCTTCTGAACTAATCTATGTTCAGAAATACAAAGCCGTTTCACTGCTGCAAATCAGGGGGCTCAGGGTAGCGAGCTTAGGGCTCTGGCGGGTGTGGGCACAGGGCTGTGCCTGCAGCTCTGATTTCAGGCTTTACCTGCCGTGATCTATCAGAATCAAGATGAGCATGACACAGTAAGTGGTGGGGAGTGGCTGACAGTGGAGATCCTCCAGTTCTTTATGAATTCAAACTGCAAAGCAGGTTTCACACACATTATTTTTAGTCAGGACTCTAAGAAGTCATCTATCATACCACTTTGCAGTTACTTGTTAGCATTTCAGTGATGTCTTTTATGCCTTTCAAAATTCCTTTATTTTATAAAAGAAAAAAAAGAACCTTCGTGGTAAAATTAAACTCTGCTTTAGTTTACTTTGGGCAAGTTCAGTGAACCTGGCTGAAGTAGTCTCTGTTTTGAGTAGGTTAGCTGGACAGAGGACTATTGTGCTAGTCTTGAATTTAAGTGGTTTTTATAACATTAAACAGTCATACTAATTTTTCTTCTGTGAGGAAAACTGTATTACAAAAAAAGAATCATCACTCGATGATGGCCATTCAAAGCTGATGTTCACTGAGCGTGGCGGTTATGATGTACCCTTCAGGCTTCCCAGCTGCCCAGGCAGGAAGGAGTCCATGTTTCCCATCTCATTTTTTTCCTCAGCACAGGTTAATAGCTTTTCCAAAAGCAAAGAGAAGAGCGTATCTGAATTCACGTACTTTCTGATGGCAGTGCCTTTTCATTCCGCCCACCCAGCCCTCCTCAGGTATCACAGGAAGCATGTAGTTGGCTAATAAGAAAATGCTTCACTTTCTTGCAATGAACTTCTCTATAAAATCTATTTTTTCAGTCAATGTTGTGCACATACGACAATGGAAGCACGACACTAAATACTTGGGAATGTTACATTAAGGTCTTTGTCCTCCAGTAGTCTGCAAGCAGATTTGTGACAACCGAAGATGTGAGTGAGCATGAGCTAGGACGAGCCTATGCAAGGAACCGGGGGCCGGCTGTAGACCCAAGTGGGTGGACCAGCATGAGCCCAACCTAGGACCAGCCAAGACTTCGCTACTCCAACCAGGAGAAAGAGGCGTTAGCGTCAACCAATGCAGATAACACATCACAACCTTTGACACACAGAAGCTCTGAGTTCACAGAGCAGAGACATACCTTCTCGCTGAGCTCTATGAGGTGCCACGGTAAGTCCGTCATGGGGTACTGGGGCTTGTTCTATTAAACTGGTTTCATTACTTTGCATGTAATCACCACGAGCAGAGTCAGTCTAGAGGAAAAAAGAGTGGCAGGTTTTAATTTACACCATGGGCTAAAAATAGTAAATTCCACAAAATAAACCAGGTTAATCACACACATTTAATAACAGCCATTTTACTAGTAATAACTATAGAGGTCAGACAGGTGATTACATATTTAGGACCGAATGTGTAACTAGCAGAACAATAAGAAAAAGGAGATGTTAATATTTACATTCATTTAATGGTAATATTTTATCAGTTATTTACTGTCCCAGTTTTCCTGAAACAGTAAAATTCATAATTAAATGCAATTTAAGAATTATCTATTACTCTCAGAATTGTTAACGATGTCCATTTTATACCAAAGTGAATCAGAATCAGAGGAACACATGACAGTCACTTTACACAAATTCCCCATCTGTAAGGGCATTTGTATGTTTTACATTATTGGGCAATTTTTATTCATTACAGCAGTCCTCTCCATGTGAACATCTGCTCTCTGCAACATGTCAACCACGGTCAATCATGGTCCAAAAATATTACATACATTAGCTATTTTCAGAGAGAACACAGTCATCTAGCTTTTATTATACTGCAGTTAAAAGCATTCCACTTTAGTATGTTATTAAGCTCTTATTGTATATAAATGGGACTTTATAGGTTACGTAGTATAGGGAAAAACACAGTATATAGGAGGCTAGGTACAATGTGTGGGCTCAAACAATCATGGTAGGGGGAGGCCTGGCCCTGAACCTTCTGCAGGGGATTACTACTGCACTGAGCTTAGGGATAAGACGCTGCCTTAGGGGCAAGTTTTATGAAGTATTATAATACAGGCCAACCTTTCTAAACAAGAATGTATATGGAAATGACTTTATTCAAGTTATACATCCCAAAAGCAAAGGGCCACCCCCAAGTCTAATCACACTAGCTTGATCAGTCAGTGGCCAAACCACTAGTTTAATAACTATAAACAGCCCTCCAGGATCGAAGCCCTTGTCACATAAAAACTGTTACTACCACACACTGGTTAAGCCAAAAAAATAGTCTGATGCAGTTTTCTATCACAACTCATGCCTATTCCCTTCGTCTGTTCAAAGCCTCAAAAAACTACTCAGATAAATTCATATTCATCTCAGTTTCAAGACCCAGTGACAACTTTACAATACATAATATTATTGCTTAATCAATACAGAGGTTCAGTTTGGGATGAAAGAAAAGTTCTGGGAATGGATGGTGGTGATGGTTGCAAAATAAAGTGCATATGTTTAATGCCACTGAATCATTAACAGTCAAAGGGATTAAAATGGCAAATTTTATGACAAATACTTTACAGTAAAACTACTCTAAAGTTTCATGTTGACTCTATAAATAGTATATTGAAGCAACCGTGAGAGTACTTTAAGTGTGAATTTACTTTAAGAATACAATTTAACTAGACCAAAACGGGTGGGAAGAGTACATGGGACCGTGATGATGGCACATGGATGAAGTGTTGGTGAGAAGTTCACGGGGATTACAACTGAGATGAAAAATGTACAAAATGAAGAATGCAAAAAAATTTTTTTAAAAAAGAAAGAATACAATTTAACCACATGAAAAGCTTCCTCATTAACAACCTAGGGAGAAAAATGAAATTTGAGTTGCTATTCAAGGAGCTAAGTTCATCACATGTGAAATATCTACGAGGCTGTCCCCTATTTCCCAGCCCAACACGTGCTGACGGTATAAAAGTAGCCTGAGCTTGTAAACTGTCAACTGAATCACATGCGAGACCTCATGTGCTCCTGGGACCAACATGTGAGCTGCCGGTCCCAGCAGGAAAGGCTGGCAGAGCCCCAGAACACACACCACGTCCTTTCTCTTGACCCTCCATACAAGGAGGGTGTCACAAAATCTGAGAGCTACTCGCACACAGAAATTATGCGCACTTTCTCTCTATTTAGTTCAGATTCAGGTAAAACACAATATAGATCACATGCCAGGGTTCTTATCTGACCAAAGCTAGTACAAGAAAAAGTCAGTTCAATGCTTATAGTAAGGAGACTTTTTTTTTTAACATTTGAGCCTTCAAAAATGTGCACAGAATGCAAAGAACATTCGTTTCCTCTTCTTTCTCTAGCTCCGGTGAGTAAGGCTGTTCTGAGTCTCCTGAGAGCCCCTGCCTGGCCAGCTCAAACCTGCTCACGTCACCCCGAAAGCCAGACTTCTTTACAGCGGTGATCACAGTTCTAGCGTTTACCATGGACTTCCACCAATTTCATACCAAGATTTCTCAACAGTGGAGAAATGTGAAATATCAAGTGGCCAGACAGTCCTAAAGGTCACAATGGCCTCATTTTACTTTAGCAAAGGTCAAACTGTAGAGGGAGAGGGTTTCTTAGCTCGTCTAACAGTGTTCTGCGTTGTTTCCTCTGTCATTCGATGCAGATTAAATTTTAAAATACCAAGACATTCTCTATTAAAAAGAACAGAAAGTATGAGTCTCACAGCTTTCTCAAAAATTGAATTTATTAACTTCAGAAGTTTATAACACCCCCTATACGGCTTAGGGTATTAACTTCAGTACATAACAGCATTCTATTAAGTCTTTGCAGTAGGTTCAAGACAGCCAAAGAGACAGTGCTCTTCCTCCCACTGAGGGGCTGGTCTAAAACCCCAGCCAGTGGACCTGTGCTGGCTGGGCTCACTCACCTGACCAACAGAATGTGGGGAGAGGCTCTGGAATTGCTCATTTGGCCCCGCATGGGCTAGGTAGGACACGCGCTCTGGAGTCCTGGCCCCGCTAGGAAGTGCAATCCCCAGGGCCGCTGAGCCCACAGGGAGAGGAGGAGAGAGGCGCCCGCCTTATCTCCAGTTTCCCCTGCTGCTGGTTACCTGTCTAAACCATAATGAAAGAACTGAGAAAATAATAAAATAGTTGTCGGTAAGTCACTGAATGCTGAGGCCATCTGTTACACGGTTATATTTTTAAAATTCTCTTCTTTAAGCAACCAGGGTTGCAAGTGTAGCATATGCTATTATTTAAGCAAGATTCATAGAAAGTCTTGCTTTAAATGTCAGAAAATGACTCATAATCGGAAATATTACCCCAATGTCAAATTTCTTCCATTTTGGTGGAAGAAGAGAGAAGCAGCTGGGAGAATTTCAGGCTTGCTTACTGTCTGTCTCCATCAGTGAGAGGAGGTGCTAGAGTATGCAGATACGTGTCTCATGTCTACCTAATGAAACAGCACAACCCAGCCCAAAATAAGGCCCTGAATCAGCCAGCCTCCGATGAAGGCAAGCTGCAGCTTGGGGACAAGGCTGCCTGGGCGCGCCGAGCCTGCGCTGCACACGCCCCCAGGGCAGCTCCGGCGGAGCCAGCAGCACAGGGTTTCTGCGGCGACGGTTGTCTGCCTTCCCCTGAACCATCAACGCTGTTTCAACAGAAACGCAGGCTGAGGTGATTCAGCCAAAAAGGATTCACCCTAAACAGAACTCACTGTCTGGGGGTGAGAAGTACACGCTAGCTGCCGGCTGGGCGCGAAAGGCCAGGTAATGCCCCTCACCGCTGCAGTCTGCAGACCAGACCCGCCACTGTACACAGCCCTGTGAACCAGCTGGGGTGCTCGGTGCAGAGGGGCATGGGCTGAACTGGGAGGGACACGATGGGGGAGGGAAGCTCCTCATTACCGCTGTCTCACATAGTTCAGGAACTCACAAAAATGATTCAATTGTTGATCTTCGTAATTTCTGGAGGAGGAATTTGCAGGCTGCACAGTCAGGAGATCTGGCAAGTGTGCTGGGGGGAAGCCTGCTGGTGGGCAGAGGGGTGGAGGAAGGCAGCAGTTTCCGCCCCCAAGCAAGTCTGGGTGTTTTCTCTGTAAGGCTTCGAGCTTCCACTATTTTAACTCGCTGATGGGGGACTGGTGAAAAATAAAATTAATGGGCCACAAAACCAGTTATGAAGAGGAGGAGGGACATGGCTTCACAGCCTAGAGCGAAAGTGGGGTCGTACCAGCTGCTTTACCACCCTCTGCTTTTCTTGCACAGAAGGGCAAAGATCTTTCATGTTATAAGTTTTTGGCTGAGGTAAAAAAGAACACACCCATTAGCAAGCAAATGAGAGAGGCTCCAGAGAGGGTGTACCTCCCCTCCTGGCCCATCTATGACTTAAGGGGCCTCTCCTACACAGCCTCACCCCAGAGGAGATGAGTGAGGCCGTGCAGAGGGGTCCTCAGAAGGACTGAGCCTGCGCTCAGGCTCAGAGACTCGTCAGCAAGGTGCTGCCCAGCTGGGGCCACAGGCCTTAAACACAGCCACAGCCTCCACCCCAGGGAGCAGCGCCACTCACTGGAAACATGTAGACATGGAGGCTCATAAGGCTGAAGAAGAATCCTTAACAATAAGCCATTTACGGTTGTCAGCGATCAGTGTTAAGAAACAATGCATTTGCAATTTGTTTTTAATGCCACTGCTTGTAACAGACACCCCCCAAACTAGCAAAACCACTCACCACCTCTCTTCTGTCACTCTCTCTGAATGTGAGAGGAGTTCTCCACAAACACTGAAGCTCGTTATTGGTTCACATGGGAGGTGGTGACCCTTCTAGGGCCACTTGTGAATTTCAATCACTTGACAAACAAAAATTTATAATACAGGGAAGTTACTTTCCATAACCATCCCAATTTAGACATTCCTAACAAGAAACATAAATAAATTCTACAACTCTCAGCTTGCACTTAACTTTATTGATCAAAGTGCAAGTTAACATTCCGATCACAAGCAACTCAACTGCACACCTGACTCCTACCACCCCTCAAGCAAACCATAAATTGAAAAGCAACACTGTGTTCTCCAGACATCTCCCCCCCATAAGAAAATACTTTGCAATTTATTACTTTTCCATCCTATCAAAACATCACTTACTGAGGCGCACCAGTCTATGTACCTTCCACATACACCCCCAAATATACCTGGTTACCATAAAAGTACACGTGATCTGATTTCAAGAGAAGAAGCACACTCATTAAAGTTTTACAAATGA